TTTATAAAGTATTAATTCATGCTGGTTGGGCCCTGTAGAAAATAATCATATTAAATATATTCAATTATTAAAAAACAAGGTAAGGAATATTAATTATTAACAACAGTGTATCTTTGTTACCTTGTCACAAATATGCTTATTAAATCCTTAAAATATCACACGACTGCTAGTGAGGGTTCATTGGCCATTGGATTTCTTCTCTATTATTTTCTATTCAAAACTTTTTACCCCATTTTTATCGTTGTAAACCTATTATCTGTTTTATATGTGAAATATTTCAAATGTACAGACAAGAATAAATAGTAAAACAAATAGTATTTTACAAATAGTTTTACCATATTAAAATTAAATATTAACAGATTTGGTTCAAATCTCTTAATTCAGTGGTTCTCAACCTTCCTAATGCCGCGACCCTTTAATACAGTTCCTCATGTTGTGGTGACCCTCAACCATAAAATTATTTTCGTTGCTACATCATAACTGTAATTTTGCTACTGTTATGAATCGTAATGTAAATATCTGATATGCAGGATGTATTTTCATTGTTACAAATTGAACATAATTAAAACATAGTGATTAATCACAAAAACAATATGTAATTATATATGTGTTTTCCGATGGTCTTAGGCGATCCCTGGGAAAGGGTGGTTTGACCCCCAAAGGGGTCACGACCCACAGGTTGAGAACCGCTGTCTTAACTAAAACATTATACATATACTTAACACTGCATGTGTGTCCATTATTAATGTCATTCCTCTCTTTTGCATAACACAAGTAACCACTATTTCAAATTCACTGTTCATGATTCCCATACATGTTTTAAAATTTTTATTATTTATATTCTCATAATTTTCCATATTACTATGTGGCAGGTTGTTAAAATTTATATAAGAGGTTTATACTACAGGTATCAGTGCTCTCTCCATTGAAGTATAAGCTTAATGAGAACAAGGTATTCATTTTGGTCATTATATTATACTAGAGCTTAGGAAAGTGTCTACCTTATAATAGATGTTCAACAAATATTTGTTGAATTAAATGTCGCATTCCTTATTAATCACTGTACACATGTAGAGTCTCATTCTTTTGTGGTAGTATGCTATATATAAATATACCTTTCTATTGTATGCCATTTAAACTTTTCATTTTATTCTTCTCCCATAACATAAGGATAAGATGAAATAATATGTCCTAAAGGAATTTGGGGATGGGAAACCTACTAGTATAAGAATCTACTACTGAATCAACTCTGGAGCTCCTACCCAGGTTTTATCTTTGCAATGTACTCCTATTTTCTGACTTCCC